TGAAGCTGAAACTCAACCATCTTCTTCTCAACAACTCTCACAAAAAAGGGAAATATGGAGACAAGATGAAAGTTGTCTAGTACTACTGTATCCAGAGAGGTCTTCTTGAAGAGGGAGAAGATCAAATCCAACCACTATAATTGATGGTTTTGAAGTTTTCATATGCTGTTTAGTAGCAGCTTTATGTAGAATCTATAGATCAAATAGGGATAGTGATAACTGCCACATCAATTAAAGTAGCATATATTCCTTGCCATGTGAAAGTGTAGGGAAAAAATAACACTGGACATTACAAATTTCAGGAGAGCCCCCTTTTTTCAAGGTTGTATTGAATTCTAATCTTGACCCTGCTTTCCAGTTATCAACATCACGACCACCCTGCCAGGATTTAATAATCAGTGTGCTTGTCAAACCTAAATGGTAAATCAGAGACATTAACTGCTTCTTTGGTAATAAAGAGCAAAAGGGCTTTAGCAGCTTTATATAAATACTAGCTGGATAACTGCGCTTCGCGACAACGCTATGTGATTGGGCTATGTAGGAGAAATCTGATTCACAATCTGTTGGCTCAGTGGTGGTCAGTGATTGAAACACATAGGGGAATATTGCTCCTGCCACCTTGAGTTCGAAAGCAGTTCCATAGGTGGAAGGCGTAGACATTATGGTGAGGTACTGACGTTTACTTCTGTAAGGAACCCCAGACAGTTCCTGAGCTCTCCAGTAATTTCTGATGTTCTGCCATGGAGAAGATGGCTATTACATCAATATACCTCAGTGCGACACAAAGACCAAGGGTCCTCTCCAGACGACCGTGTCTGTTGCTGACTTTTACAGCTACAGGATAATGGAGATGGTGAAGAACAGCTGTTCCACAACTCAGGTTGGGAGGGGAGTAGAACTCCTTAGCATCAGAGCATGTTAATTACTGTATTAAGAAGTAGTAATGATCTGATGGTCATTTTGAAAAATCTTTTCTTAACGAACACCTAGAAGCCAAGAGGAACATATATCCCAAATTTCAAGTTTGTAGGCTTTACAGTTCTGGGAATTTCGTGATGAGTGAGTGGTACTTGGCTTTTATATATATAATATAGATTAAGGGTAGTATCTCAAGATGGAAAAATACTATTGCCCAGGTTTTGGAATCATAGATTCTGCATCTTTATGGAACTAATTACATTCTCTTGGCTATTTTTGCTATCTTGTGACCCATAGTCATATAGTTACATTGACGAGAGCTATTAGGAGCAGGGTATATGGTTGTGATACAGTTTATACCAATCCTGTCCTTAGTTTCAAACAGATCAGTTCCCAGTAAAAGGTAAAACAAAGAATTCAATATTGATAACATTCAGAGAGTTGGGTATGATGGTGCCACCAAACTGAAATAATCATTCCACGAATCAATTAAGGCTTAGAAACCCAAAGTCAAGTCATTATATATTGAAATATACACTGCTCAAAAAAATAAAGGGAACACTTAAACAACACAATGTAACTCCAAGTCAATCACACTTCTGTGAAATCAAACTGTCCACTTAGGTAGCAACACTGATTGACAATCAATTTCACATGCTGTTGTGCAAATGGAATAGACAACAGGTGGAAAGCATAGTCAGTTAGCAAGACATCCCCAATAAAGGAGTGGTTCTGCAGGTGGTGACCACAGACCACTTCTCAGTTCCTATGCTTTCTGGCTGATGGTTTGGTCACTTTGGAATGCTGGCGGTGCTTTCACTCTAGTGGTAGCATGGGACGGAGTCTACAACCCACACAAGTGGCTCAAGTAGTGCAGCTCATCCAGGATGGCACATCAATGCGAGCTGTGGCAAGAAGGTTTGCTGTTTCTGTCAGTGTAGTGTCCAGAGCATGGAGGCGCAACCAGGAGACAGGCCAGTACATCAGGAGACATGGAGGAGGCCGTAGGAGGGCAACAACCCAGCATCAGGATTGCTACCTCCACCTTTGTGCAAGGAGGGACAGGAGGAGCACTGCCAAAGCCCTGCAAAAGGACCTCCAGCGGGCCACAAATGTGCATGTGGCTGCTCAAACGGTCAGAAACAGACTCCATGAGGGTGGTATGAGGGCCCGACGTCCACAGGTGGGGGTTGAGCTTACAGCCCAACACCGTGCAGGATGTTTGGCATTTGCCAGAGAACAGCAAGATTGGCAAATTCGCCACTGGCTCCCTGTGCTCTTCACAGATGAAAGCAGGTTCACATTGAGCACATGTGACAGACGTGACAGGGTCTGGAGACGCTGTGGAGAATGTTCTGCTGCCTGCAACATCCTCCAGCATGACCGGTTTGTCAGTGGGTCAGTAATGGTGTGGGGTGGCATTTCTTTAGGGGGCCGCACAGCCCTCCATGTGCTCGGCAGAGGTAGCCTGACTGCCATTAGGTACCGAGATGAGATCCTCAGACCCCTTGTGAAACCATATGCTGGTGCGGTTGGCCCTGGGTTCCTCCTAATGCACAACAATGCTAGACCTCATGTGGCTGGAGTGTGTCAGCAGTTCCTGCAAGATGAAGGCATTGATGCTATGGACTGGTCCGCCTGTTCCCCAGACCTGAATCCAATTGAGCACATCTGGGACATCATGTCTCGCTCCATCCACCAACATCACATTGCACCACAGACTGTCCAGGAGTTGGGGGATGCTTTAGTCCAGGTGTGGGATGAGATCCCTCAGGAGACCATACGCCACCTCATCAGGAGCATGCCCAGGCATTGTAGGGAGGTCATACAGGCACGTGGAGGCCACACACACTACTGAGCCTCATTTTGACTTGTTTTAAGGACATTACATCAAAGTTGGATCAGCCTGTAGTGTTTTTTTCCACTTTAATTTTGAGTGTAACTCCAAATCCAGACCTCCATGGGTTGCTAAATTTGATTTTCATTGATAATTTTTGTGTGATTTTGTTGTCAGCACATTCAACTATGTAATGAACAAAGTGTTTAATAAGAATATTTCATTCATTCAGATCTAGGATGTCTTATTTTTGCATTCCCTTTATTTTTTTGAGCAGTGTATAATGATGCTATAGGATTGTTCTATAAAGATTGCCATGCTAAGCATGGCATTACTTTATCAGATTCTCCAAATCCTTTGGCCAGCTCCTGCTCTTCTTCCTACTCAGAAGAGGATTAGTCCAAAGAGGTTATGACAGACAAGGCTTAAAGCTGCTAAAGATGTTTTTTTTAAAAATCCCCAGTCCCCGAAAGAGGCAGATACTGTGTAGATTGGTCCTTTGAACTGTGGTCTTCCCCAAACAGTGAAGCAGATTTCAAAGTTTACTGTGATTTTGCAAATGTGTGCAAAGGCTTCATTTTTGGAACAGTAGCAATCACTGACATAGTGGGGAAAGGGTTACCCTGGCTTGTCATGCTAAGGGAACAATAAATGCCTCTGGAAAACAATGTGCCTAGCAAAAGAGTCATTGCAAATTCGAGCAAATTGCCCGAAAATAAATTATACACAGTTATTTCTGCAGCATTATTATGTCTCCTTAAGATTCATGATGCTGTATATAGTACCTTTTCCCCTAAGATTATTTTATTCTAGCCCATAAGGATTGGAGATAAAATATATTAAATGTCAGATTTTTCTGTCATTTTTCAGTGACAGATTTTTCTGTCATTTTTCATCTTTCTCTAGCAGTGGATTAAAATGTTCCAAGTCTGAAACATCAACATATATTTAACCAACATTCAAGTGCTGTTTGTAAAGCAGAACTGATATTTACTAGGACTCTGTAGAGATCAGGATTCAAAGAGCAAAATGTGAGTTACAGTGCACAGAGGCTTATAGGTAGCATCAGAACAGCATAAACCAAACATGTCTTCTCCTGAGATCATGGAACAGCTCTGGAGAGCAGCCACAAAGCCACAAAAAGAAGCAGCTGGTTTATGTTTGTGTCCACATGTACTTTAATTTTGCTCTTCACAACTAGATTTCTGTGCAACAATGTTTACTCCTTCATTATGCACTATGTACATGAGCACACGTGTATACATTGCTGTTGTGGAACATATAGACTTTAAACCAGAGATCTTTTTATTGGGAGTCATACCGGACATATACAATAAAGAACTGAAATATTTGATTGTAAATGTTTTAACAGCGGCTAGAATTGTATTTGCGAAGAACTGGAAAAATGACAAAATACCTATGCAGGAGAATGTTATCAAAAAAATTATGGTCTGTGCTGAAATGAGTAAACTGACATTTGAAATTAGAGAACAAGAAGACAAGCAATTTTATATGATATGGGATTTGTTTTATCAATGGTTGGATAAAAAGGCATGGTAATATAATAGACTAGATAATTTTGTGATAGAAATTTAATAGACTGATATAAAACATAATATAGATATATATAACCACTGGTTGAAAGTATAACACAAATTTTAAGATAAAACTTGGAACATTTCGTATAAAATGATGGAATAAATAGTTTAGTCATGGATGATTAATAACTGATAAATATATAAGCATATGTTAGTTCGACAATGTGAAAACTGATATAAATTGTGAGTAAATGACTACAAAAGGATAGCACAAAAGATATGTAACCAACTGACACACTGTATGTATATAAAATGAAAGATTTTTTTAAAAAATAATGCTATTTCTTTTATAAAATTTTATGCTTTTGTATACTGATTGGTGGCATATAAGATTTTTTTTCCAGTTGTCTGAATCCTGATTACTGGTTTTTCCATTCTTATTCTTATTTTAGCTGCAGTATTGTTAGGGTTAAACTTATTTCTGCACGTATTTGTACTATTTTTGTTATATTGGGAAGCCTGGTGTCTTTTTTGATTAATTTGTTGATGTGTCCCTGTGTATTTTTCTTATTAAAAACATTTTCCTCTTTAGTTTTGCTTATTCATATCTACTGTCAACTTGTATTGAATACTAAGTCATAACAATTTCTTATTACCCTTGAAAAATGAAAAAAACCCCTCCATAAACATTTTTTCTTTTATTATAGGTGTTGGGCTTTGAAATAGATACTGTGAACTCTGTCCAGTTTTCAAATCATACAGGTAAGTGTATGTGCCTGTGTAATGTTATAATTCAGAATAAATTATGCTTTTAGAAATTATCCTTAGTGTTTAAACCTGATACCGGCCATATCCAATGAATGGTTGTAGACCTATCTGTTCTGTGTGTTGACATGCTATCTCTATCTAAGCACTCTTAAACCAATCAGCTATATACTTGTCAGCCTTTACTTATATAGTATCTATATCATACTCAAAGAAGGGAGAGGAGGCAGATATTAGTTATTCCAAAGCAGAAACGTGTACTCCCTGTGATTCAGTGACCCAGTCAGAATGAGACCCTTTCCACACCTCTATGGAGTCTGAAACAGAGCTGCAAGTCTTAAATCCATAAGACAAAAGGTGCCATTGTACAGGACAGTTGAATGTACCAAACTATAATAGCAGGTACCTCAAGGATAACAAACCCCAGCTATGTGTTAATCTCATGCCAGCTGTGCTTTTGGTGGAGAGTTCTCTTGGAAAATTGTTGGGATCAACATGTGTACCTCCCTCTTGTTGGTCCATGCTTGGAATACTAGTGCAAACTACCCATTCTTTGATTCTTGTCTAGCTACTGACTATATATTCTACCTGACTTCTGACTTGATAAGATATAGTTACAACCCTTAGGATTAGTCTAGCTTTGCCCAGTTGATAATTATTCTGATAAAGTATTATTATGCTCCAAATTTGGACTGTCTCATTACTTATTTTAGTATAACTATTTCATTCAGAAGCAATAGAAATGATAGCATAGTATACTTCAACAGTAAGCCAGCCCAATGCATAACTACGGTAGTATGTTATATCTTACAGAAAAGTCCAGATCAAAAGAAAATTAACTTCTTTGGTTTTAACTATTTGCTAGGTGATGTATCTCCTGCATAGATGTTTGAGTCGACTTTCTGAATGAGCCATGTTGCTGTACATTTTTTATTTGTTTATTTATTTATTTATTAAATTTATTTGCCACCCATCTCGCCACAGGCAACTCTGGGCGACTTACAACATAAAAAGCAAATGGTTGAGCACTTAAAGCAACCTTCCACATTTTCATGTCATCTTACAAATGTGCAGATCATAGTTCTCAGATACTCTCCTTCAGTGTAATTCTTTGTCTCCTCTAGTCTTAGATAGTTGTTTAGATAGTTCAATGCTTTCATCCATTTGCCAGGTTAAAAAGTAACACCTCTATCAATGGATTCCCCTAGGAATTGGCTTTTAGACCTTCACCTTCCTTTGAGTCAGGCCATCGACTCTAGTTAGTGTGTGATAATAATGGATCTCCTATTATTTTCTCTGAAATTTGATATTTAGTGTTGAGAAGGGTACACTAAAAATAAATTCATTTAGAGTATTTCCTAAATAAATAATGCCTTTGCTAAGTATTCTCATAGTAAAATAAACACTTTTTTCAGTGTCTCATTTGAATGCTTTTTTACTATCCTAGTGATCTCAGGATTTCTGAATTTACATATAATTACTTCTCTTCACACATTCACCTAAACATTTCAAGAATATGTAAATTAATATCTTTAGGTGAGCTTATAGTTAGGAATTCACTGAAACATACCATTTGCCCACCAGCATGTAAACTTTTCTAGGCAACTGTAGATCAGGTAAAAATAAAGTTGAGGGGATGTGCATCATAGTAAGGCAATTTTACTAATATAAGTGGGGCAAGCTCCATTTTAGTTATCTTTTTGTCATCTATAAAAACAGTTTTATTCAGATTGTCTTTTTCATTTTAATTTGGTCTAAATAAAATGTAATCTTGTGAATTTCCTTTTTTTAAACTTTGGAAGTGTTGTTTATTGTTACCAAACTGTTCTCTCTATCTGTGTGTCTGTGCACATATCACAAGCATGAAGAAAGAAATTGGTCCATTCAGACTTATTCTGTCTTACTTTTCAACTTGACATTAATAAAATGCCACCTGATTAACACAAATTTTCTGAATCATCATGTTACAAATTAATGAAAAGAAATGTTAATGTGCTGTTTTGATATTCAAAACATAGACAACTTTCACTTCCAAGAAGGTCCATTGCCTCTTGCCTGCTAAAGAGTATTTATTGTATGATTACAGTGAGTGATTAATCCTCAAAGGACATTGTGATACAAAAGAGACCTGGCAACAGCCCCCAGACCTGCTTAAAAAAAAAAAGAATAAAAGAGAAGCAGTTTTGAATTTGTCATAGACTCAAATGCTTAAGAATATAAGAATTGTTGAAGAAAGAGGGCTTGATTTCAGCAGACCAGAATGAGAATTTTTAAATGCTATTCTGAAAAGATTTGGCAGCTTTGTTATTGATGTATGTGAAGAAAGAGAATACAGACATACACCCATGCTTATGTGTCATAAACAATAGAATCTCAACAGCTGCAGTGGCAAATGGACACTTCTCAGCATTGGTTACCAATTGGCTTCTGGGTGCAATTCAAGGTGCTGCTTGTTAACTTTTAAACCCCTGAATGGTAGGTCTTGGTTATTTAAAAGACCATTCGTTTTTGTCCTTCAAATGTGATCATGCTGAGTGGGCACATTTTAAGTCTTATTAATTAAATGTTGTCATCTTATGGGAGCCAGGAAGCAAGTCCTCTATATTGGAGGACCTGAGATAGGCACAACTCCCACTCTACTTGGTTTCTGGAAGTCTCTTAAGACCTGACTCTGTTCCCAGGCCTTGGGTTAGGGTATCTGGGGAGCCCCTGTTGTTGGTTTTTTGTGTGGTTTTTTTAACTTTTGCTTTTTGAGGTCTCTTTTTAACCCAGGTATTAGATTTATTGTATGCCACTCAGATTTCCATTCTTGGAAATGTGTGGTGTTAAACAAATCCATTAAAATAATAAATAAATTATGTGTTCTGGAATTCAATTTTAGTTTTTTTTTTTAATGTATTATGAATCAGGCTACTAATGGTACAATGTTTCTGAATATTTATTGAATTATTGATATCTACGCTGAAGGGAAATTACAGGTTTATTACAGTTCTCTTCCACCTTGTCTCTCCTCTCTTTTCTTTGCGGTGGCTTCCTTCTGCTCCTTAGACTCTGTATTTTTAGTTTCAGTTCTATCCTGAATCATTCTTCAAATGACTTAATTTCCCCCCACTAATTCTAAACTTTGAGTCACTACTTCCATTCATATTCCCTCCTTTCAATCCAGTTAATTATTTCTGGAGGATGTTCAGAAACTAATTGAACAAACATATGGGTGGAATCAGATTTTAATTGGGAAAAAGGCATGGCTCTCATCTCTGGGTCTTGGGCCACTGAGAAGGCATTGTTTTGACGTGTCCTTCCCCAAGTCTAACATCTGGAAGAATGTCATTGCAGCTGAAACAGGAAAGTTTACGGCTAGCAAGACACATAAATATCCCTAATTCTCTGTCCTAATTCTCAACACTTAGGCAATCTTATTACTAAGCAGAATTTCTGAGCGTTGCTGGCATGGGCTTCTTAGTAGAAGGATAGATACTTAATAAACCATAGTGAATTAACTTGCTCACTTCTGCTACAAGTCTGATAAAGTGTTCCAAAATGTGGAACATTCCATAAAGAGTCTTTGGACTACCTGGGCTACTGAGTGTCAAATCAGGGGGTTGAGATGGACTTTGAAACATCTAGCTATGTCCAATCGGGTCCTAGTAATGCAAGCTATGGCAAACATTAGTTATCATGCTCCTAGATTACTAGCTAGTTATTATTTACCCATTTGATATTTTAACAGCAAAAAGTTTAGTCCACAAGGGCTGGTAGTATGATTCTAAAATCCTGTCTTTTAAGAAAAGCAAAAGTAGTAGAGATTGACCAAGTATGGCGATTATTTCACTTGCAATTCTCCCCCCACACCCCAATTTCTCCTTAGCCATAATCCCTTCTCTTTCACCTATTTAAAGTTGAGACATATGCAACATTTTCCCTATATTTTCTTTTATCAAGCTAACCTTAATATGTATTGATTAGTAGTAATTGGTTTTAGTGGCATCATCAGGGTTTATTTAAGGTAAAATATGTTGATTTAACTGATTAGGGTTAATCAGAGTTCCCCAAAGTGATCAATATTGATCTCCAAGGATCTGTTGCACTATCCAAGATTATTATTGTTATGGTTGGTTGCGCATTCAGCCAGATGTTAGACTGGATTTCACATTTTTGCCTACCTATCAAGCCTTTCCCAAGGACCTGTGAGAGGCAGTTGTTTTTGATAGTAAAGCTGCATTTTTCAGTTGATTGATGATGCTTTTGACAATGCCGGTAGTCTTCAAATGATGCTCCACATATTTAGACATTGCACTCAAGATGCTTATTACTATTGGTATTATTTTTTATTCTTTTCCCATAGTATTCTACTTATTTGCAGGTATTTGTATTTTGGGGTGTACCTTGTGAATAATAATAATAATAATAATAATAATAATAATAATAATAATAATAATAATAATAATAATAATA